AAGTAATATTTTTAATTTTTTGATGTTCTTTATATAAAATCGCGTTTATGTACCTAGATTTTTGTGCGTACTTTAATTCTGTAAAAAATAATTCTATAAAGCCAATTAAAAGATCCATCTAAAAACGATAATGTCGGTAAATCATACGGCTGCAGGATCCCCAAGGGGCTATAGTTTTCCAAGCAGAAATGCTCGATATAATATAGGCGAAGTACTCTTCACGTTCCTTTTGCAAAACCGCAAATCTTTCTACAATCTACAATGATTATTTACGTTGCTGTTAAAATTACAATGGCATAGCCAGCCTTATTTTTGAATTCAGTAACGCGAGCTTTATCGATCTCACGCGCATCGTCGCCTCGGCGCGTCGCACCGGCCGATCAGAGAATGAGTGCAGCGATCGGAAAAATTCGGAAATTTATTCGCTCGTATATAACGATCATTTTATTGACGGACGCATTATTCCACGCACACCTGTCACTCCCCGCGTGTACCGTTTGCACACGACGGCGCTGTGGCTTTACAACTCTATATCGTACATCGCACATTATTTCAATGAACAAAAACCCGTGTACGTGCGCTGCATTGCATTACAACAAGGATACGATTTTATTGTCTTGCATAATTTATTCGTTTACTATATCCATAATCATAGATCGGAATTCGCGCGGTACGACGAAGCGCGATAATAAATGAAATTGCATAGAGCAACGGCCGTTAATTGATTGATACGCGTGTAATAATTTCAGTTGTCTGGGAAGCTATCAGTTCACATCCGCATTAATACCTACCAAAATTGATATTACCCGAACGTGATTGACGTGGCACACATTATTATCGCATTATCGTCGAGTATCACCGACAGACCTTCTTGACACTTCCACGCGTACGCATTTTAATAAGACTTCTCTCATTAACGTTAATTGCCAAAAGACAGGCATGAACGTCAATAGCAATTGATTGAAATCTTTTTATAAAGTATATTAATATTGATATATAGCTTTATGTGAATGGAATGTTTTTTTTATTTAATTGCTGCTGTGTGATATGATCTTGCTTTCACCAGCATTAATAAATATTAACGAAATATAGTTTGTTTCTTTATTATTTCACACAAATATGAATATATTTTCCGTTATTTATATTGTTCTTTCAAATATACCTACTTGTAAAATAAATATATTATTGTTTTCTGCTAATTATGTATTAAATTATTTAACTCTTTACATCTTGGAATAAATTCAAATTCCAACAACTTGATAAATAAATAAAACCTCTTTATTTCTGAAAACATTGAATTTTATTACGACGCGTCATAATAAAACCTCTTTATTTTTGAAAACATTGAATTATAACATGTCATAATAAAATTCAATGTTTTCAAAAATAAATAGGTTTTATTTATTTATCAAGTTGTTGGAATTTGAATTTATTCCAGAGTATAAAGAGTTAAATAATTTAATACATTATTATTAGCTGAAAAAATAATATATTTATTTTACAAGCATATTTAAAAGAATGATACTTAAGATACATACTTAAAGATTTAATAATATATAAAAAATACAATAAACTTTTAGAATAATCTACTTCGATAATAACTCGATATTTGAGTTACTGGTATGAAATGTGATATCGAATATAATTCGACTTTCAAGTGCAAAGAGATAAGCAAAATTTTTTGCAAAATTATATCAGATCACAAATCGATTGTTTGCCTATTTTACTAAAGAATGCTTGCTTCTATATACTGAAAGAATTTTCAGAATTTTCGACCGCGATGTAAGGAATCAGTCATTTCTCTAGGCAAATTTAGTTTCTACTTCCTTATAACAACATACTCTTGCCGCCGCAGAAAAAAAAACGAGAGCATAACTGCCCGCAGTTAGCCCGTAAGCTATTCTAGACAGATTTCAAGTTCGTCGAGACGAGATTTGCGTCTACAAATAGTTTGCTGGAGCTTTATTGTTTGCCTCGGGCAGAGGTAAGACAAGCAGGATATGCTCACACCCACCTGAGTTACACTCGCTTCGTCCTCCTGTCGCGCTCGCGCGTTTATGTATCCTGCCGCATAAATTACGTTAGCGCCAGTTCATCAACTTTCAGGCGAATGAACAAACTTTCTGGCGGATTCTCATTCCGGATTATTACTGCCCCGCGCATCACCGCGAGGTTTTAGCGTAATTATAAAACCGCAACACGCTTGACATCGATACTTTGTAAATTAATATCGAACAGAAATTGCACGTGTAACTTTTTGCCACTCATCTCACGTAGTAGCGAAATGATTGTAAATTTTTCATACAATTATCGAGCTTTGCTATTCCATGATTAATAAGAGTTATAGCATCAACTATTTACGTATAATGATATAAGAGCATTAAAGGGGCAAAACACAGCATTTCGGATTAATAGCGTGCTATTAAAATTTTCATCAAACTCTGTGAAAGTAATTATAAATGTTCTATAATCCCATTTTCGAAAATAATTTCTGAATAATTTTCTGAAATTACTCTGTCCACACATATTCTTTCGTTGAAATCTAAATTTTTTGAAAAAAATCATTGCGTAGTCAAATATAATCTTGGCATAATATATTGTAAATAAAATAATGACCTTTCTGTCTCCTATCAGATTCTTAGGATGCAACTCTCTAGGGATGCAACACGAAAAAGCTTTACCATGTGCAGATCGGAAAGCTCTTCTCGACGTCTGAAAAATCGCATTATAGAGATATTTGCGCGCGACCACAACGTCACTTTCTTTTGCGCTGAAATATACTGACAACGTATAAATTATAATCAGAGCGTTCTTTTCTGAGAAAATTTTATCCTCAGAAAATTTCTATTCGAGAATCAAAATATATATTACTGGAACTCTTTCCTCTATGGTTTCATCGCTTCGAGCGTCGAGAACAATCATCAGAATTTTCGAAGAGCTATCCAGAATTTAAAAAAAAATGCCAGAAAAAATCCGTGAAAAACTGTTCACTCCTGGGAAATCTGGAAAATCCGAAGCGAGAGCATTGAAATTGGTTGAAATCGCGCCCGGAAAAGTTGATTAGTCGCGCTAAATTTGCGCGTCATCAACGAAAACGCAATATTGAATCAACGCAAGGGAAGGCGCGGGACACGTCGCACTTTAGCCCAGGACAAACAGTCGAGCTCCGCAAACTACTTGTAGCAGAAAGGGCGCAGCATATATAGCGAGTGATGAAGAGACGCGCAAGACTAAGCACGGGCGCCGGTCGTTTCCTGGATGCTTCCGCGTGTTTGTCCGCCTCAAATACGTGCCTTCCAGGACGCGCAGCGAGATGAAGAAGGTGCAGGGAAAGGGAAGGAAATGAAGACGAGAAGCGGTCGCAGGCGGAATGGTCGCGTCGTGCTTAGCATCGTTTCACGACTCTGAAATACGAGTGAAATCAATTCGCGACGTGACTACCTCACATCAATCGCCACCACCGCACCGGAAGGCTTTCGCTAAAAATATCCCGGAAACTAATAGTCCATCCCGCGTCATCCCGCGCGTTGCACCACTAAAATTTTTTACGTTTCACGATTGGTATTATTAGCGATTCTTTGACAATTGTAAACCGGTGGCTGATAAATGTATCAATACCATTTGATTACTCGAATATGATTACTCGCTTCGTATTAATTAGATCTATGTAAATATTACGAATGGTTTAATTATAATGATCTTTATCGAGGCCATCCCCATTTATTCGTTTATGAGTAAATCTTTATTACCATCATTATTTATCTTTATTAGTATTGTTATGGTTGCATTATAATGCATAATAAAACGCAATCCCTGACGATTAATATATTAATTTGGTATACAATGAACAGTACGCAATAACAGTATCTCAATTCTATCAATATTGAATTTCAGTAATAATTTCTATGAAAAAATCGAATCGGATAATGAGCGTAAAGATTAATTAGCGTAAATGCTTTCATCGTATTGCTTGTTCTTATGTTAAATATTTCAAGAATTATACATGAATTATTATAACAAACCTTGTAGTAGGTATATAGAGTTTATGATATATATGTACATATATATATTTTTTTGCTAAAAACACTTTTCTTCAGCAACTATTGTATATAATTATACAGTCAAAGAAAAAGAGAAAGAAAAAAGAAATTACAGTAAATATTATCATCAAACTTTCGACGGGACAGGAATAAATAACGCGTGAACGAAATTAATTCACGTAACGCCGCACGCCGCACGCCGCCATCAAATCTCCCATAGTCTCTTCTCACTGAATATTACATTTTCCGCCGACGTTTCCGGCGAGAACGCAGCAACATCGTCGCCGTCGTCGTGACGACTAGATTAGAACTGGCGCGTAACTTCGACACGGCAACGTACCGTGAATTTCATAATTCATGGAAATAAACGCGCACACGTGACTAATAGCGTTACAATTAATAAACGGAGCATTTCACTACGAGCTGCGCATAATTCGCACCCGTTTGCTTTCCGAAAATCCTACGGTATTCTCATATTTTGCTCGTTTTACGTTTAATTAATTGTTTTTGTTTATTTTATACGTTTAATAATTATTAAAATTTATCTATTAATTCATAATTATTAATACTTCTAACTTAATAAATATAATTTTGCATTATCAAATTAAATACATATTAAATAAACGTTTCCAGAATAATTCTCTCAATTTGCGATTTTAATGACTAAATAATATCCTATACTATTTCAATTATGTAATGGTAATTGCAAGTCGCTTCAAGATCCGAAGCGGAATAATTCTAGTAATATTTTGATTAATATCACCAGAAATATTCGCATTTCCAGGTAGCAGAGTAACTACGTCAAATGACGTATTAATAATGTCTAAAGACATCTTAATACATATTCGTTAAGACGTCTTTAGACATCATCCTGCTACCTGGGGTTTCTTAAGTCACACGCGCTTTGTATCATGGGACGAGCATTAGCAATGAGTAAAGCCGAGATTCATATTTTTGCAGGCCGAACCAGCGTTAATGTACGACAGTGTACAGGTGTTCGCGGTGGGATTACGTACCCTGGAGCAATCCCATGCTTTAAGGCCCGCCAATATTTCCTGCGAGCTCGAGCACCCCTGGGACGGCGGTTTGTCTCTCACCAACTATATCAACTCGGTAAGTTTCTCCCCTTTGCATTTCTCTACACCGACATACATGAGCATGTATAATGCTCATAAATTACATGTAATATCAACTTTGAATTATTTGAATTATATTAAGCGACGTATACCTGGATTAGGTATATATAAAACTTTATAATGCAAAGTTTAATTTATTAAGTTACCGTCGAGTAATTATATTAACAGGGATTAGATGAAAACACGCGGAGTTGCAAAATATACAATTTTGCATAAATTGTAAATGCAAATATATGTATATCTCGCAAATTTTATTGTTTATTTCCATAAACGTACGTTCAAAATATTTGCAGAGATTTATGTTGTTTTTATGGCATAGGACGATACTTATTCCCGCCACAAGATCGCGATGTTCCCAGCGTAAATACACCCACGGGACGTATTTTAATTTTTTATAACACCGTCCACGTACATTCTCCGGCAATGTCGCGACATCGCCGCCACCTGCCTCTCTCGACTTTTCCCGAGGATAGATATCGTCGAAGGAGAGAAAATCCGCTGCGCCCATCCGGCAGCTCCATCGTTGCTCTTTAGCTCGCGCTTGGCAGATCCGCCTCGAGAGACCACCCCGAGGGGGAAGAAACATGCTGCGATGGCTTACCGTAAATTACCGCTACTGAGATCTGGCCGACGTCCAAAATAGACGATATCCAATATAGTAGCACTCGTTTCCGCTCAGTTCGTGCAAATATTTAGCGTGGCGCGAAAGGGAACATTGGGATATCCGTCGCGTACGTGCCAGGCATATGAAATCCGGGAAGGTAGTACCTCACTTTCGCTAAAATACCTTTCATATCTCTATTTTATTGCTATCTCACAATTAAGACATTGCAAAGAAATATACATTTACGTGGAAATATACATTTGTAATTTCCATTGCGTTATATGTTTTTATTTGAAGCTAAACGTTCGAGCTCTCGATCGAATCGAGTTAAGTTCATAATTTTCTCGGGCTGTTAATACTCTGATGAGCTGCTCCTAATAATCCCGCTGTAAAAAAGAGTATCCGGTAGCGTGAGAAAAAGCGCGTTTCTATAAATTTCAATCAACGTTTTGCGCGCGAGCGTGATGTCGCTCGTACGCGAGACACCGCGCTACTAGCGTATAGCAGCGCGACGGATAAATTGTTTAATACCATGATGGACGATTCCAAAGCTGTCACAGGCAGGGCCCACAAATCCTTCCGTGATGTTGTACTTCCCCTTTTCAACCTGTACGACATTCTTCCCGTTCCCGTGTCCGACAAGGCACGATATCCGCGGCTGCAGTGTTTCAGGATTGATATCCACTAGAGACAGAGAGAAAATCGCGATATTGTTCTTTCATAAAACATATCACGCTAGTACATACACGCACATTATATATGTATAAGCGTAAAAATTGTGTATAATTATAAATTGTTTTTAGATCTATGTATTTTATTATCAATCAATTTTTATTATTTTTCTCGAGAAAAAATATTTATTATATTTAATGTGTAATATTATATTTAGGATGTTTTATAGAAGAAAAGAAGAAACAATATTTCATTTCTCTCTTCCTTTGTCTCTAATGGATATTATTTCTGAAATATGTATCACGACTGAATATGTACATACACTATGTGTGCAACATTTCTGATTTTACTTTTTACATATTTTTTACACGAATTTTACATAGAAATAATTATAATAATTTCACAACTGAGATCTCTTTAAAACGTGCGCTACAGTCTACACCAACGGAATCTCTTATACAACACATTCGATCCAGTTTCCACGATTTTGATTCGGCGACCCTTCGTTAAGCGGAAAGTCCGTCGTACTATCTGAACCCGGCGCATAGAGTTCAATTTTCCCGAATTGTACAGAGACTTTCGTAACCCGGCGCGTACGTGACTTTCGCGTTGCTTGTTAGGAAATAAAAAGTTCGTACGGTAAATGCACCGACACTAGAGACCATTGGAGAATTTGAACGCGGTTGGAGCAAGAAGAGATATGAGAGAAGTGAAAGAAACAAAGATAGAACACCGAAGGGAAGCGGGAAAGAGAGGAAGGAGAGCGAAAACGAACGCGCCGCGTACTCTTTTCGCAATAACAAGAACTACAAGAATAATAAAAATCGCCTCATGCTCTCTATAGAGAAGAAAATGATAGCCGTTAATGCCCGCACATTTTTAAGGAAACACCTTTCGCAATTAGAGTTGCGGCATTCGCAGATGAAACGCGTGCGACGAATGCCCGGGATAGGTACTGTGCAGAACTGTGAACCAACCGTCGCGCCACTTTAAGAGCACGACAAACATCGCGTGCACTAGCTCTGCATGGTTTGTCGTTCCGCAAGCGAAATAACATCGCATACTTTGGCACAATGCGACCGTCCGCGTTTGCTGCGCAATGTCTCCTCGCTACCCGCCTACATCCATAATTAGTTAAGTTTATCTTCTACCCTTTAGCTCCCCTTTAGTTACTGGCCTGACCATCTTCAGGCGGAAGAAAGGCCCTACGAGAGGATTAAGGCTTCGCCGTTGTCCGTAATATCTCGTCTCTTCCCGACTTCCAGCGCTAGTCTCTTCCCTCCTCTCGCCGATCGAACGCGCCGATTACCCGGGCGCGATCATTAATTTAATAGCGCCGCAGCAGCGAGATTCCAATATCGGTCGGATGGCCTCTAATCGACCTGGAGATATTTGCGCCGCTGTCCTCCGCCGACGCGACGCTGGAATTCCGGCATAGCATCAGACATGCCGACGCAGTTTAGATTATGACGTTGAATACGTCAAAAATGAATTAACGACGCCACGCCCAGCGTCGAGATATGTGTCCATCTTATACGTCAGCGAGGCTAATAAATATCATCTGATACGCGATATGGCTTGTACAAACGGCATGCGGCAATCAGCTGATTACACATTCGCTCGTTAATACAGCTATCCGCGATATGTTTGTGTGTAACTGCGATACTGGAGACAATGCGAGTAACGCTGGAGTGCTCATATAGAACTTCCTGAAGCTAAGAGGATACGAGAGATTTCGTGTGAAATCTTTAGTTCATTAATTAAGTACTGAGATTCCTTAAACGTTGATATTTTATCGATACGTTAAAAATATTGAAAATTTTATTGTAATTATCGGAGAAACTTTTTTTACGCTAACTGGATCCTCCTTTCTTATGACGAAACTTTTATTTTATTGTTACTTACGAAGAGATTTTTAAAGCTGTTGTTCTTGCAAGAATATTACGAGAAATGTCAATCCGAATAAAATTTTGAGAAATTGAAACATTTCGAAAAACTCGATATTATTATTTTTGCTTATTGCGCGACTGGAAATATTCGAAAGTGGAACATGCTTAACCTTCGATGTATCTATGTATAATGTCATCCCTTTTTTTTCTTCCTGGATCACAAAAGTGTCACGCGACAGCGTCGTGCAACTATTTGGCGATCTTCCGAGAGTTTTTATTGCTGAATTAGCTATTTCGCATTGTTTGATCTCGCGCCTTTCAAGGATCTTCGGTCCACTTGTGTAGAGATTTTGGCATGCGCGTTGGACTCTTGCTTATTTCGTCGGCATTATCCTACTTTCTTACCCCAATTTAGCCCGACAGTATCCCTGGCTACAAGGGCAAACGTTAAGTGGGTCGTCGGATTAAAATCTGTCCACTCGCCAAATTTCCCATAAATAAGTTAAACGAATATTGCGCGCGACGGTGGCCGGATTGTTGAGGCGCCAAGTAGCGTGGCCTAAGTTTTCGCCGACTCCTAGCATGCTTTTTACGTATTCCATTTAGCGAGGCATTTACAGTCTCATTTAAATATATATACATACATATAAAGTGCTTCAAAATAATCCGTGTTCTTTTAATGATAGATTCTAATCAATTTGAAGTAGATTTTTTTTTAGCGAACTATCAAAGGAACTCATTATTGCAGCTTTCTTAATTCTTTACATCATACAATTTTGTATATCTCTCTCTAATCTTCTAATCTTAAAAACTATTAATATAATTTTTATTTAAAATTAAATGAAGAACGTAGTTTTATTAGCTGTTTGATTTTTTGAAGTTTATTTCATAAAATTCTTCTTCTTTAATTGCTTATAGTTTGATAATTATTGATACCTCGACATTTTAATTAAGAAAAAATCAATTCACCAAAGAGATCATTGTTAGTTTTAAAATTTCCTGTATATATCTGCATCCTTGTGTACACTCAACTCTGTTTAATTAAATGTTAACCGAGCGTATTCCGTTTAATTTAACGCCGGTGCTTCGCGCATTCCGCTTTTTCAGACTCGCTTCCGAAAAATTGTTCATCCCCCGTGGTTCATAAAATTAGAAATCGCGGTCGTATATCCTCCGTAAGATTACGGTAATAGAAGTTATTCGTAGAAATTTCAAATATGTGACTCTTTTATCTTAAATAAAGCGTAAGAACACGATTTCCAACGTGACGTGCGACAGCGTTTCTCTTTATATTCGTATATAACAAGTAAATTGGATGTATTTTACACAAAGGACGAGTTATCTCGGCAGAGCTTTTACTGTAAAGCGTCACATAAAGTTTAAGATACAAAAGTTCAAAACAGTCTAAGCGTAAAAAAACAAAGTCTTTGTAAAAAATAAACTTAATAAAATTTAATCAAAATACTTTGTCGAGAAAAAAATGAATTTTAAGATAAATATTAAAATTTATATGAAATATACTTAATATAAAAATATAAAGAATTGTTACAATAAAATTCTTTATATAGAAAATACACAAAATTAATATTATTATATTTTGATTTTAAAATAAAATTAATATTTGTTTTTAATTAATTATATTTTATTTCAAAATTTTATATTAAATTATTAAATTACATTAAATTATAAAATCATATTTTTAATTTTAAGTTAAATTAAAGTCACATTTTTTAATTTTGTAAATAAATTGCAATCCCAGGAATATTGTATCGATAGTATAAATTGCTTCGTAATCGAAAATTGAACTGCGAG